TGTGAAAACCGTAATACATTGGGGGCCAGTGTCTAGTTCATCGGATCATACGCCCGTCGGACGGAGTCAAATGTCCAAGGTGCCCAGTTGATCCGGTGACCACTGCCACAACCGGGAATGTGTGATTCGTAAGCCTCATGGTTGGTTTGGAATCAGGGCTTTTTACCAACTCCCCTAGTGAACTACCAGTGGTCCACCAACCCTGTTATAGTCCCGGATATTGACTTTTCGTCCTCTCGCTTTGGTGGTAAAACGCCTCCGCCACGGGAAGGTAGTGAGTGGGGCTTCCTCAGTAGAGGCTTTTCGAGACACTTGGTCGTATGGGAGCATTTCGCGAGGTGCCAGCTGCAATCTCGGTACATCTTTCTTTTTATAAAGATCATTGTGACGTGATTTGTTTAGCACGCAGTCTGGATTCAGACTGTGTGAAATGTATACTATATATAAATCTGCGAAGTTTTGCTTACGACTTCCTGCGGACTCCGAGGCTCTGGCGTGGCTTTCAGTAGAAGAGCTAAAGCCCTATTGTTTGGTCGGATACCAGTCGACAGTCGATTGTGTACCGTAAGACTTGGAGGTTCATGCGTAGCAAACGGTCGTGGCGCCGACAGATGCAACTATACAAAGAGACAGACTGTTATCGCGACTTTAGTAGAAGTTATGAACGCTAGTAACGGTTGATTATTATTTGGTACTTCCATTCGACTGGCTTCCTGGCTCTTGAAAAACGGGGAATGGCAATATTGCGCATGCGGTGACTCATTTTATTCTTGTAGACTGTGAGCTTAGTAGAGATCGGCGGAGTTCACTTCATTGTATTTCGCTTTACGATGAGTTGGTTAGAGATCATGGTTTCAAAAAGTTTCTAATTACATATTACAATATTACAATGTGTCCTCCCTATACCCCTTTATTGCTCTCCTGTGATTGTCCCTGGTTTGTTGAAGGCTGATTTCAAGTTGCTGAGGCGTGGCCTCTCAATGATCAGCCGTGTCTCCCAAGTTCCATTATCTGTTCTGATTGGCAATATGTGTAATGCCCATATTGATGTATGCTTAAAGTTTGCTGACAACATCCTATCTGATTGCACCCATCCTCTACACACTGATTTAAGTGTGCATAAATGTGCATGCAAATCCCACCGCTGTACTCGTTCCAAGTACAAACTTATCCCGTCTCGCATATCCGCGTACAGAAACTCTTTGGTACCCTTTCTTGCCCGGATACTGACCGACAAGGAAAGTGTTCACTCTGAGCTTTCTAATGCATTTGGTAATTAACTCATACCTTTGTAATTTTTCACATCCCACTTTTTCCCCCTGTTTTTGCCAGAATTGTAACGTTGGGCTATTTTTTGGCTGAAAGCTTGTATATATAACTCGCTAAAGCTAGAATATAATACAATAAGAGTGATGGGAAGATGGTTTTTGAGATTGTAAGGGTTATCACTGTTCAACGAGTCTCTAGATAGAGTAGAGTTAGAGGCAGACTGTGCAGTGGCGGTCTGTCCTTTCATGGGGTTCATAAAACAGAGTCAGAGGAATTGCAACTCGAAGAGATTGATTAAAATCGATTTTTCAAGGAATCAGAATGTTCGGTTTTTAGTGGCAGATGAATTCCGTTGATCGTCTTGGTGGCGAACGAAGCGTTTCCGAATTGTGCGAAACGGTTACTGGATGATGGTGAGTGTCGCCGACAGGTGGCTGAGTGTTTTTAAAGTACAGTGTGGATACAAGCACGGTCCATTCAGTGGGAGGATTTATTCTACAGTGTGTCAATTTGAACCATTCTAAGTTACGTAAATTGTGAGGAATTACACAATTCGATCGCAACAGGGGCCAGAGAGCAATTCGGTTATGTAAGGACATGGGTGCAAAGAAAACGCCAATGGAAAACGAACGACCAATTGTTAGCACGGTGTAATACATATTCACTTTCGACACAGTTGACTCGCACACGCCTCCATGTGGATAACGATCACACATTACCTATATTCTTCCGTGAAATGCTAAACGATAGGAATAACTCATATGTTGTGTCCCAATCGAACTCGGTTTGCGAGCTTTTGTATACCTTGATTATGGTCAGTTTATCCGTGTTATTTCGTATTGTCATAGTTTTTCATCTTTTTATTTCTTCACTCATCCAACAAATTTGCCCGTAATTTTTTTCCTTCCGATGGGATAAAAGTCAAAGCCAAAGTTTTATAATCGGAAATACTTACAAGCGGTTGCTTTTCTAGCAACACGTATTTTACCAAGTGACTCATCACACTGTCTGCGACAACGGATTCTATGATTTTGAATAATACGGGGAGGAGAGTAACGGGGTGGTAGTTAGCTGGGTCACTACGATTGTATATCGGAGAAATTATTCCTTGTTTCTATGTTTGTGGGAGCACAGTTCTTCTCCTATTATTCATTCAAATGAGCAGCCAAAAGACAGCAACCAAAACCGGCGCACGAAAGTTCATGGTTAATGGTTGTACAAACGGAAACTGAAACTGGACTAGTTCACTTGGTGGTTGAGCTAAGTTGCTTGCCAGGTTGATAAGAGTTTGTGGATGGATATTATCTACTCCCGGAGATGAGTTCCCTTTCAAAAACTGCAGTTTGGATGCTATGATTTCGGGGGGAAAATCAATTGTGGTGAGCGTTGGATACGATATATCCCCAAGTAACAGAGGCAGTCGTAGTCCGATGTTCGCAGGTGCACTGAACAGTTGAGCGTACTGATTTTTTAGCATTTCAGCTGCCTCCTTTGTTGTGACTGAAACACGTTCTTTCACTCTTAGCGCGGGGACGCCAGACTTAACTTTTCTGGTAGCATTTATGTGTTTGTACAACCGCTTGGTATTTGATATGAACTTGCGCATCAGCATTTCTTGTCTTCTCGCGCTAACCTATCCATCTTTATGATGTTTTTTTTTCTAGCGTTTTTAGGCTTCAGTTATGCTGCATACAAACATAATCAAGAATATAATCGTTTTGTTCATTTATTTTTGTCCCCAGGTGTTGTTATTAATTTCATCTTTATGTGCTGAAAAAAGAAAACAACAACAGAATGCACGAAAATGACATGACCTCGTGCAATTCTTCACAGTTCTATGAAGATTCCGAAATCGGACGAAATGGATTCACCAATGGGCACAACAGTGGTGTGCTAAACGGACTGAAAAAGCATTCGCCCAGTGAACTTAGTGCCAGCACGTTTGAGGAAGAAACATTGGGTCGTACAAATGCCAAACCGTATATGATGCCAGACACACGACGGAACAGAAATTCTCGACCCTCTTCACCCAATTCACCTCCTCCGTTACCTCCACACAATTTTCCGGGTGTCACGTCCACATCATCTCAGTCTTTATCCCATTCTAGTTCTGACGGAAATTCTCGTGACGATTCCGCGCCTAAATCCACCGTGCGTTATGATTCCAAAGAGGCGATCCGTCTGATATCAAGCACAATCGATGGTCAGATTAATTCGGTCTCGGAAATGCTGGCCTATTTTACCAAACTGGTCAAGGCGGAACGTGCCGTACAACAAGCGTTGTCGGATTTGTGTCCAGATACCGGGGATAATAATCATTCCACCTACCGCCCTGCGAATGGTTTCCAAAGATTTCTGTCCGGTCGTCGACGTGGCCGGTCTTCTCATTCTGCTAGTACACAAAGTTTGAGTAATATTACGGCCACAGATACGGAATTGAATAAGGTAGGTAATCCGCTTAATATAGTTGTACTCTTACACGGTCCTGTTTGTTAGCTTGGTGAACTAAGATTTTTAATTCTATCCAAATTACGTGATACATTTTTTGAGGTGAAATAATCGGATGAGAGTGGATCCACTATCCTATCTTTTGACCATCTCATGACTTCTTTGTTCTGGTCTCATGCCAAAGGTCCCAGGATGCTACTTCAAGTCAGTGGAGTTTTACACTATCGTCTCTAGATCACTTAGGTGATTCTCTCTCTTTAAGAACCATGATAGACAGCCTGATGATTGAATTGCAAACAAGTAAAAGGCTCACTTTTCTATTCATTCAAAGTTCCTTCAATCATGAAGATACTAATGATAATGATAATGATCCACAAAACACAGTTGTGCTAGAAAGCGCTCTGTCAGTGTATGCAATGGACAAAGTTTTAAGGTAGAAATAACCCACTACCCGATCAGAGTGAGAACGGTATTCACACTCTTTGGCGGTTGTGAATAACAGGTATCATTATGAGTTTTATTGACAAATCGGTAGACAGTAGGGACGAACGAACAAACGAAAGAGGGATGATTGTAAAAACAATTCATGTTTACTGTCATGATAGAGTTAGAGAGTTATGAGGAGTAGGACTAATCTTTCAGCCACGCTAGTAGACAATTGATTTGAGGTGCCTCCTGATGAACCTTTGAAATCATATTTCAATCTACAGAACAGTGTGGTAAGGTGCTTTGAGTCTGCGATCCGTTGGAAAAGGGACGAAGAGAGCAGTGTTCGATTGGTCGGATTGTATAGCTGTCGGATAGGAAGGCTCTCAAATCTAGGGTGTCCGATTCACCTCATGTTCGAAGTAAGTTGCCGACCTTCTTGTGGACATTTCACTCGTTTCATTGTAAGCAGTTCAGAAATAAAGTTTATCGGCTCCTCCTAGGTTACTACACCTTTTCCCATCAAGTTTTAGCCAAAATGCGCAGTCCTTTAGCCGAAACCCGCAATGCCTTAGCCACGACAACGTAGTCCTTTAGCCTTGATGCGCGAACTTTGGTCGTGCTGTTGTAGGCGAATCAGATGAACAAGTGTGGTAACATTCTGAGGCCAAAGAATGTTGGTAAAAGCTTGTTCCCTATAAATTTTGATGTTGCAAAGCTTGGCTAAGAAATTTTAGGGTGTGGCGATGAATGGCACGCTGCACCACATATTGATTGGAACAGATTTAACTGTATCGTCGAACCATTTGACACACCTCGTACGGCTTCAGTGTTTTCGTATAACATGTGATAATCCTGTGAGTAAAAATTTCGAATTTTACCCAAAGGTAAATTGTTTTGCATTCACAAGCCCTGAAATAAGCCACAAAAGGCTACTACGAAACGTAAATGCTAACTGTTCTGTATGCCCACTTAAAATGAACTCTGTTCATGAGACGTGGATACATTCACATGCCGAAGGTAATAAACGCAGTTCACAAAATACGCTCCATTAATAACGATACAACGTTTGACATAATTACCACTGTCAAGATTCAAGAATTGCAGAAAGGTGTCATTAAGGACTGTCTTTTGTGAACGGTGTTTGTTATCCTCGACCTGTTCATGTATCCACATCTCGAAAACGCAGTTCACGTTAAGCCCAGATACGGAACTGTCAGTATGTGAAACAATGTGTACCGTTTGTGTCACAGTTGAGATTTTTACTCACAGGAGTATCGCCTACAGCAGCATGACCAAAGCTTGTGCATCCGGGCTAAAGCACTACGGGTCGTGGCTAAAGCACTGCGGATCAAGTCCAAAGGACTGCGAGTTTGGGCTAAAGCTTGATGGGAAAAAGTGTAAGTACTGGTGGATTGACAACTCAGTGAGGGAACAGAAAACCGGCTCCTCATCCTCGAACTTCAGTAAAATTACCCTAGTGATACGAAGGTTACGAGTTAGTTAGTTAGTTGGAAGCTACCAACACCTGGCACTAAGAGAAACGTTTAAAAAGGAGTAAGAGAGTAACAATGAAATCCGTTTACTAATACATCCTCCTCCCATCAACCAACCTGTCAATACATTTTTACGACGTCACTCAAGGTGTTTGTATTCGGTTTTCTTTCGTCAGATTTTGCAGAATCTCGTGAGTTCTACAAATCAGAAAGCTCGTGCCTATTCCACACGGGCTCTTTTCCACAAACTGGTCACCGTAGGTCAACTGGAAAGTCTTATCACATGTCATCAATGTCTGAAGAGAACGTATGTTGAATTTGAGGGAGAACTGGAAACACAAGCTTCACAGGTAAGGAAATATTACTGTTCATAGTTTCTTAATACGATGTTGATCACTCGTTGACTGGTAATGAACTGGTTTTCAGAATTCACACACAGAATTTCATGGCTTTTGAGTTGTGGTCCATTAACGGTATTGCTGGTGATTGAACGGTCAAGACCAATGCTCATTACTCGTATCCTCCAAGTTCGAATCACGCTGGATGTCTTTTTATGCCTATGCGCGAATTACCTCCCGGAACATGGTTAGTAAGTCGAGCAACCAAGATCAGCTGACTGATAAAATCATAACTGTGGAATCACATTCATCTTGCGAACGCGTTTGATTCGCAAAAAAACACATTTAAGATTAAAAAGTGAGAAAAAAATGTTTTTGAAGCATTACCGGCGAATGGATTCGAAATGAGGTAATGGTTAGTGAAAAGAAAGATGAAATCGTCCCGGTTCACGTTGCTTTCCTTGTCGCACAGGTATCAGAAAGAATTTTGCCTCAACTATATTTGTACGCTTTTGGAACAACCTGTTCTCTGGGAAGCGTTATGAAGATTCTTCAT